TTCTTATTTAATATTTTAAATATATTTTTGAAATCTATTTTATATTTTTATTTTAAATAAGTCGTATCAATTTTTTATTGACCCCTGCGATCTTTTATTTTAAATAAGTTTCTGGAATCTATTTTGTATTTGTTATTTTAAATAAGTTGTATCAGTTATTTTACCGACCCCTGATTCCAACACAGATCTGCGATAGTCTTACAATAAAAGGAAGCTGACTTCATACTTTTATACAGATTTTATTTACCTTTAAAAATTCAGCAGTCTCTTTAAATAGTAAATTTTTCTTTTTCAAATGCTTTATTAAAGCTTTCATCCACGTGATGCGAGTAGTTAACCTATTGCGAGCTTGCTGCAGAGTTTTTATTTTTCGTTGCTGACGTGCAATAGTTCTTTTTGCTATCTCTAAAGCTCTTTGAGCATTCTTACGTGAAGCTAAATGTGATGATTTTATGTCATTTACATAACGAGGAAAATGTTTAGTCTTCGTAGGTGTTTCCCTAGCGTTTAAGCATAGGGTAGCTTTATCTCTCACAGGTGTAGATGGTCCACAATTGACATCTTGAGACAGTTTTTCAGCTGTCGCAGCTGAATCTGGTATTCTATCGAAACAAGATTGAGATATAGCCTTCGGAGTTTTGCGCTTTGACAACTGAGCACTTTCACAACTCTGCATTGAGTTATCCACTATCATTGAAGTATCTAGAAGATCGTCAAATAATTAGTTTCTAATTCATTCCAAGTAAATGTGTGTATAGAAATCAGTAATTATTCATTATTACCTGTATCTAATACATTGCAGTTTTCTTTGTCGATAGCATCATATTTCTGTTTTGTACTACCACAAACTTCAGTAAGAGCAGAATTTGACTGTTTAGACATTTTATTCTTCATATGTACTTCATTATTCTTCATATTAGCACAAATGGATGGTACAGCATTGGGTTTTAGCACTATACCGTTACTAACTTTCTTCTTGAACTCTTCATGAAAATGATTCGAACATAGTCTAGTTGCCGTGTTAAGAACACGTTCATTGATTTCACAGAATGCTAGCCACTGCTTGCGAGTTTCCTCTTGCTTGGGAAATCTGTTAATATGATCCATAATTAATTGTATAATTTATAATATATATAAAAAATATTACATTGTATTTATTAAACTTGGCACAACTAACCTACATTTTACTACATCTATTTACAAAATAGATCAAAAACTTATATTTACTTACTTATGATAGGAAACAGATTTCTCGCGATTGCCGCACAAAACGCAATACACACTATTTGAACGTGCACTGCACATTTTTAATATTTTGTTAATATTCAATAAATCTCCGTCAAGCAAAAAGCAACGAGTTTGACGCATGCGCAGGAGGACGAATATTTCGCGTATATCTTTCTCTCTCGCACTTTCTTCTGACAATGTAAGAGGACAGTCTGTTAATTATTTTCAACATTTGAACGTTCGATCCATAAGCAAATTTGGTTTACCAAGACCGGAGGTCGGGTTATTAATTAGACTAATCACAGGTCTGGAATGGACCAACAATAGAAAATATAAATGTAATTTAAACATTTCTCCTAATTGTAAATGTATGTACGGCCGACAAACAAGATATTGAACATATCCTCTGGGATTGCCCTTTGCTGGCCAACCACAGAGAGATCATGATTTCTTCTCTTTATAAAGAAAAGTTACAAAGACCTTTTTCACTAAATTACTTAATTGGCAATCTTAATTATAAAGTTGTTAATGTAATCGTTAAATTCTTAAAACTTGCTCAAGATACTTTGGATATTAATTAACTATATAATAAATATAACTATGTCTGACAACGTAGTTTTTAATTTTGTTCTCTGAGGTTTGGAATAAGGCCCTTCTTTAGGTTTCCTCAAAAGTTCGGAGAGCATTGACTGGAACTACCAAGAAACGATAAACTATTCCTGGACATCTGGCTTCATTGTGAAGTCCAGGTTTTTTTATTGGAAAGCGTGGTACTTTGGTTCTTCGAACCGAATATCCAGAGGCGAAAAGAAAAAGAAGAAGAAGAAGAGGACAGTCAATCTGGTTGGAGCAATTGTCCAGCGAAACGAGCTATCCTCGACGACTCATTTTACATAGAAAGAATGGCGGGATTGGAAGACTACGGGGATGTGTACAGGGGTCGGCTTGTCAGATCGTAGAAGGCGGGGACCGTCGCTAAGGAACTATTTTTATATGCAGAATATAATTTGAGGAATTATATTAAAGTAAAAAAATCATTTAATTTTATTTAAAAAAGTGAATATGACTTTTATATCTTTTAGCGCCTCTAACAGTTTTTATTTAATTAATACTGTGACCGAATTTCTCTCCACCGTCGCGTTGCGGTTGCCCCGGCCGCTCGTCTCGTTCGCCTTTGGCCAGTACCGCGTGGATGGACCGGGTCCTCACTGCTGATTTGTTCCTTATCGGCGGAATCGAACGGGATCTTGTTTGCCCGTCCGCCTAGGTCCCCGTTTCACAGTCGCCAGAACCTTTCACCTCCAAGATTCAAGGAATTACTTCACTCAGGCGGGAATTAGCCGTTTAAATTACCAACTTCGTTAGATTTACAGATGTTATTACTGTATTTATTTTTCAACAACTCGGTACAAAAGATAATATAATGCCCCGGTCCTC